AGAGAGCTGAGTGAGGCCGGAGTCGTAGAGCTCTATGTGGGAGAGCGTGGCGGCTCGATTGAGAATTGTGTGTCTGAACTCAGGGAGCGAGAGCTTGGCGGTTCGATGTGGTCGTAGTCTGCTGTCTGCTCTGTGTCGAAGCTGTAGCGTCTTGGGTCGATTAGGACTGTACACGCCGAGTGCTACATTGTTGACTGTGGAAATTGAACTGTCTTCTATTCATCGTTGCTTATATGGTGATTACACCTCAGCTTCCTTCAACAAGGTGAGAAGAGTATTACCTGTAATTGGGGAAAGGATTGTAGCTTCTGTAATTAGTTATGTTATTAAAATAATGAGATAATGGGGCGAGTATAAGATTAACTCGCTACACCTTCTGATCTTAAGCACCTCCTGGACTCCTTGCCAGAGCTGGTGCTCCTGTTGGGTGATTTCAACTGTCGACATTCCCTCTGGGGTGATGTTCTGACAAACACCTGAGGCCGCCTTTTCGAGCCGTTCGTCCTCTCTTCTTCCCTGTCTAATGAATTCTGGTGAGCGCACCCATGTAGACTCTAGAACTCGCACGCTTTCCTGTCTTGATATTTCTCTCTGCTCATCGTCCCTTTACTTAGATCTCATGTGGCGGGTTCTTGATGACGTCCATAACAGTGACCATTTCCCCATCCTTATTTCCTTTTTCTCTTTTCACCCTCCCTTCTCCTTCCCTAGGTGGCAGTTTACCAAAGCTGACTGGAACCTATTCACCCTCTGTGCTACTCTCACTGACCTCTCCTCTCTGCCTCTTCCTCGCGCCTTTCTCTTTTTTTCATGACACCATCTTCAATGCTGCCCTCCGCTCTATTCCTCGCTCTACCTCCCGGGACACGCGGAAGGGCGTTCTCTGGTGGAATGCAGACTGTGCTCGGGCTGTCCGCTGTAAGCGTGCTGTCTGGAAGAAGCACCGACGCAGACAGACGGCTGATTCTTTTATTTTATTTCGGAAACCAAGTGCGGTGGCCCGTAGGACCATCCGTATAGCTAAGCATGAGAGGTTGGACATCTTACATTTCCATCATTACGTCTGATACTCCTCTAACGCAGATCTGGAAGAAGATCCCTCAAGATTGCGAGTAAGTTCGTTCCAGATATCTCGCCGATTCTTCACCTCCGTGGTACTCTTGTGGCGGATCCAGTGCAGGTCGCGACCGAACTGGGTTCCCACTTTTCTCCTGTTAGCTCTGGTTCTCATCTTTCTCAATCCTTCCTTCCTTCGTAAGCCCGTTCATGAATCTCATCCCTTAGATTTCCGCGCTCATCTTCGCCTTCCCTATGATGATCCCTTATCTCTCTCTGAACTTCAGTCTGCCCTGGCCCTCTGCGGTTCTACGGCAGCGGCTCGGATGACATTATGAGATGCTTCGCCATCTCCTTCCTTGCACGTCTCGGTATTTACTGAGTCTGTATACCCAGGACTGGGAGTCGTCGTCAGTCCCTGAGGACTGACTCGATGCCGTTGTACTTCCTATTCGGAAACCAGGGTCTCTCGAGACATCCCCTAAGGACTTCCGCCCTATTGCCCTCACGAGTTGTGTCTACAAACTCTTTGAGCGTATGGTAACTGTTCGTCTGATGTGGTTCTTGGAACACCATCACCACCTCTTTCCTTCTCTATTTGGTTTTCGCAAGTGCTGCAGCACAACTGATGTCCTGGTAAACTTGGAGGTCTATATTCATACTGCTTTAATTGCTGCGAAGACCTTCATTGTTGCTGTCCTTTTTGACCTGGAAAAGGCTTATGACAACCTGGAGATACCATATTCTATCCCAACTTCGTTCTTTTGGCCTTCGTGGTAATCTCCCCTCTCTTCCTCTCTCATCGTTCCTTTCGAGTCTTGCTTGGTACCACTCTCTCTGCCTCTTTTCGGCAATACAAAGGTGTACCCCAAGGTAGTGTTCTGAGCACTACTCTTTTTTTCTGGTTGCCCTCAATGGTCTTCTTTCCTCCCTTCCTTCCGTCATTTTCTCCTCTCTTTATCTCAACGATCTTACTCTTTGCTGTCGAGGTGATGATTCGCCTCTCCTTCAATTTGCGATTGATGCTGTGTCGTCTTGGGCCATCAATCATGGCTTCAAGTTCTCTGTAACTAAGACTTGTGCTATGACTTTTACTCGAAAGCATGTCGTCCTTTGTCCTTCTTTGTCACTTTATGGTCATCCCCTTGTGTACAAAGATTCCGCGAAGCTTTTGGGGTTAATCTTTGACACTCGTTTGTCTTGGGCGCCCCATATCTCTTACCTCCGAGCTGAATGCTCTAAGGCCCTTAACCTACTTAAGGTTTTGTCCCATACCCATACCGCTTCTTGGGGAGCGGATAGGCACACGCTCCTCTATTTGGACTCCTCTCTCGTCCTGTCTAAACTCGATTATGGTTGCCCTGCATACTCTTCTGCTTCTCCTCCTACTCTTCGCCGTCTTGATCCTTTGCACCATACTGGGTTGCGCCTCAGTTCCGGTGCCTTTCGTTCAACTCCTACCCTCAGCTTGTATGCTGACACTGGCTTCCTATCTCTCCAGGACCGCCGTGATCACTACTGTCTTCACTATCTTGCACGGTCCTCACTTTCGCCTCTGTCGTACTTTGACTTTTACCCCTCCTGTAGTCCCTGTTCCTCTTCACCACCTTCCTCTTTCCGTCCGTTTGTCAAGCTTACAAGATTCTCTTTCGGTTCGTATTACCAATGTTTCTCCTCGTATTGTTCCGTCCTTGCCCCCAAAGAGGATCCTCCTTCCCAAATTTTGTACTTCCCTGACCCGCATCACTAAAGCTTTTACCCCTTCTACAGTTCTGAAACGCCTTAATTTCCTTGAGCACTTTTCTTCACACTTTCACTCCGTTTCCATCTTCACCGATGGGTCTAAGTCTGCTGACGGTGTGGGCTGCTATGTTGTTTTTCCTGATTATACTTATATGTGTCGCCTTCCTCCGGAGGCTAACATCTTCACAGCAGAACTTTATGCTATTCTCTATGCTTTTCGTCTGCTGCTTTCTCGTTGTCAATCCTCCATTGTGGTGGTAGTTGACTCTCGTAGTGGCCTCATGGCTTTGGGGTCCTCTAATCCGATTCACCCGGTGGTCATCGAGATTCAACATTGGATGTTTCTTATCTTCAGTAAATTTAAGGCGATAGAGTTTTGCTGGGTTCCCAGCCAAGTTGGTGGTGGTGGTGTTGATTTAGGGGCGACGACGATCGTGGGATCGGATGCGCCCCAGCGTACCCGTTAAGGGTGAATCGCGAAGCCTGGAAAGGTGGAACGCCAAGCCAAATCGCAAAACGAGTGACGCCAAACACTAGAAACTATTATGCCATACGACAAATAAACGCACAGTCAGGCAGATGATTGGGGAGTCCCAGGAGTCCCTCAGGGTGACAAGCACCGGCCCCGCTCCACACAGAGAACACCAGGTAGCAAAACCAAAACTCTGCCCCCAACTAAAACGCAAAAAGTCATCCAGTGTCCCCCGGCAGAGCAGAAGCCGGCCGCCCACCACGATTGAGGGCACACCAGGAACCCACCAAGACCCGCCAACCCCCGGCACCTCTCGGCCAAGCCGGCATCCGTCACCCCGCCGGGAGAACCAGCCAGTACACGTCAAAAAAAATCTATCAACAATCCTGTGACCCAAGGCGATATGTGCGCCAGGCGTCGTACAATCGGACCGCTGAAAAGGGATGTCAAACGGCAGTAGCAAAGCCAAAACGCGAAAACAAGACATAATCAGGCGGCACCCAGGCGGAGGTGATGTCCAGACGTCCGCTCGGCTTCAAGGTTGAACCAGGAGTCAACCATGTTGGTGTCTACAAATACAAAAATACAAGTACTGTACAAATACAAATATTTATTCAGGTAAAGCACATACATACACCCCCTTGCTCTAAATGTCACAGTGAATACTGAGCAAAATAAAGTCCATCTTTGGCTAACTGCCAACAAACACCCTCAACATTGACAAAACTTTCTATATTTTGTGTGGCAATAAATCCTTAAATCAAATAAATCGCATGATAAATAATACCCAAATTTGTAACAAAATAAATGGCAAATTTCTTGGCGTTCTCATTGACCACAAGCTGAATTTACAGGGACACATTCTAAATATATCAAAAAACTTTCAAAAACTGTTGGTATTCTTTCTAAGATCAGATATTACGTACCTCGCCCTGCCCTTTTGACGCTCTATTACTCCTCCTCCATCCTTATCTTAACTATGGTATTTGTGCTTGGGGTTCTACTACGCAAAATCAATTACGTTCTCTAATTATTCAACACAAAGCTGCTATTAGGACAATATCCAACTCTGGCCCCAGACATCACTCAGTACCCCTACTCAAATCTCTGTTATATGTTACATATAACGCGACGGAAATCCAAGAAAATGGTAGAGGAGCTGTCGAGAAACAACCGACCAGCCCGAACTCTATGGGCATGTAAACACGAGATTTGGCACTCTCTCATAATTCTTACAGGGCATCAATTATGCAACATCCTCAGCCCAAATGTGGGCTAAAATTAAAACGATCTCCAAACCTAACCCCCTCAATTTGCTCATCACTCCCCAACAGCTTATGCTGACATGCTACTAGAACAGTATGCAAGCACCAAGTATGCATTTCACCCAGCAAAAATCTATCAGAATTACTTTTTTTATTATTATTTTTTAATTAACAAAATTAGGTATACACAGCAATGTGCTGCTACTCTATTTTATATGAGATGTTACGTAGTGTAGATCAAGAACTAACTATAGGTTCAACTATTATTCCCATCTCACTGGATGGTTAGTCATACATGGAATCAGGGGAGAAATTACCAGCCTCAATTAAAAAAACAAATCAACTATGAATAAAAATCAGGTGAGAACATAAAATGTAAGGCTGATCTATTAGCCCCCATTAGCAAAATACAGCCCAAGAATATCTGAGAACACTGAATTCGCTTGGATACCGGTGACGTCATCCATGAACACACGTGACGTCATGCTTGGTAACCGATGTCAACAAACGGTTGCTAAGTAAACCATGCTGGTCTCAGGCTGCTCCTTCTTAGGAATTCTCTGCAAAAAATGTCTCCGCCGCCAGTAGCAGTGAGAATTGTGCTATTAAGAACGAGAGCCACGTGAAGACGTCACTTAGTAATCAGATACGAATTAAGAAAGAGAGAGACAGGTGAGAAAATGGGAGTTATTGCAGCATTTTAGGACCTCTTTTATTTCTTATATATAAATGATTTGCCAAATATCTCTTAACATGCTTAATCTTATACCATTTGCTGACGATACTATCTTCATCTATTCAGACCCCAACACACACGCTAAATAATAAGTAATGTAATGTCTTAGAACATAATAACAAAGGATAAAAACCCATACTAGTACTTATGTATTTGTGCTTTATGTAAAGATTTACACCGTCTCTCACTCTCCTGAGTGCTTTGTCGAGGTCTGAGTTTGTGGTTAGGACGAGACTTGCAGCTTAACTACTATCCTGAATCCAATCCTCTTATCCTTCTTGACATGACCATGTCACCCCTTTTTCTTAACTGGCGATCTACCTGTGGTGATGTCTTCTATAGAATTATGATCAGGTGTCCTTTCTGTCATCTTGATATTCTGAGCACTGGAATTGTTATTAATATAGTAGAGGTGTTCATCTGGATGCTCTCCCTCCTAACTCCCTCCTTACCCAAAGGAAAGTGGCTTTTGGGACTACTTACATTCATCCATTTATTCAGAATTAAATTTAGTTCCGAATAAATGGACGAACGTAAGTAATCCCAATAGCCGCTATCCTTTGGGTATGGAGGGAGTTATGAGGGATAGCATCCATATGAACTATTACTCTATTAATAGTTCTTCTATTAAAACTAGATCTATAAATGTGACCCTGTTTTCCATTCCCAGCACCATGACGCTGGGGCAGGAGGCACCAGTCACCCCATCCTCCCCTGGGCGTCAGGGCACCCCAGGAACCGCCTCGGTGTCATCATCAACATCGTCGGAATCGAGGGGAAGCAAGATGTCCCAAAAGGAGCGATGGCGCCTTTTGCTTGTGTCATCAAGGGCTCGTCATGTGGGACCAATTGCACAGGCTATTCTTCCGGGGGTCCTGCTTGTCACCTTCAAGTATGAGACCTCCACACTTGACCATATCCTAAGTGAGTTGTGGTTGGAAAAGGGAGAGAGAGAGAGAGAGAGAGAGAGTGACAGTGAGAGAGAGGGAGGGGGAGAGGGAGGGTGTTAGAGGGAGAGGGAGGGTGTTAGAGGGAGAGGGAGGGTGTTAGAGGGAGAGGGAGGGAGTTAGAGGGAGAGGGAGGGAGTGAGAGGGAGAGGGAGGGAGTGAGTGAGAGTGAGAGAGTGAGAGAGTGAGAGAGAGAGAGTGAGAGAGAGAGAGAGAGAGAGAGAGAGAGAGAGAGAGAGAGAGAGTGAGAGAGAGAGAGTGAGAGAGAGAGAGAGAGGGGGAGAGGGAGGGAGGGAGGGAGGGAGGGAGGCCTTTAGAGAAGGAAGGACGGTCGGTCAGTCGGTCAGGATGGGTGCTGGCCGCTGGAAGCAACAGTCTGTTGGACCAAGCTCTCACAAGTCAAGCCTGGCCGAAGTAGAATAACTCCCAGAACCCCATCAAGCAAGTCGGTCGGTCGGTACATAGTGATCTGCACTCTCACCTATACTGCATTACCTTCATTTATGTTTAGTACAGTATTCAGTTTTAGCATTGGCTAAGAATATTAACATAATGCAACATGTTATAATTTTAACCACGATTATACATTATACATTAGCATATTTAATGCCTTTAACCTCCTCTCGTAGCTCTTGTCTTTCAGTCCCGGAAGTCATTTAGTTGCATGTCTTTGCACCTTTTCCAGTTTGTTGATGTGCTTCTTAAGTTATGGGCACCATACAACTGCTGCATATTCCAGCTTTGGTTTCATGAAGCTGGTTTCTTTATGAAACCAAGAAACCACTATGAAACTGTTAACAGTTTCTTTAAAACTGTTAATAGTTTCTTTAGTATCTTTTTAGTATTTCTATAGTATTTCTTTTTCTTTAGTAGTTTCCTTAGTATTTCACCATCCATGTACAGTATATATAAATTAATTAAATAAGTAATTATCAAACGAACGCCCTAAATTGGAAAGAATATATAACACCAAATTTTTTAAATACAGTAGTTTTATCAAATTTAAACTAACTTTAAATATGGCTTAAAACCACATCTAGCTCATACAACAAATCTGCAAATTAAATACTGTACTAGTATTGTAGTAGGCATCCATCAGTCTCAGGAGACTATGGAGTTGCGCTCTGGTTGTCAGTCTGAGGTGGCCTCTCCAGAGCGCAAAGCCAGAGTAGGTTGATATGGTGGAATAGCTGTCACCCATGCAGCAGGTCCTACCTCTCGATGGCGCCGAAAGCTTCCAATGGAAAGCCAAACGCCAATACAATTGGTTCCAGTGCCATCGCAGGAACTGTCAGAATGAGGTTTAAGGCAACAACGAACTGCCTTACGGGCTCCAACTTCGGAGTTGACCTCGAAGTTGGTAAAAGAAGGCACATGGTCTCCAAACAAACTATAATGTACTAATAAACACCAAAATAACTTTGAAGAAAGGTGCAATCCTGCTCCTCGCTACTTACTCTTGCTACTCAGATGCTTACCAGAGTCTCACACCTTTCCAGGTCAGGTAGCTACTGCTCTAGCTGGGAGAAAGGTGGAAACTATTGGAGTGGTGCTGCACGGTTCAGAGGTGCAGCTTCACCTATGTGGGCCAGGGGAAAAGGTACATATTTACTCACCTTCTTACAATCTATCATTAGAATAAATTATAAGGCAGGTTGATCGATTGTAGATGGTAACATGTAAAATATCCACTGAGGGCTGATTAAAACCATTTTTTACCCTCTGTAATCCTTTTGCACTACATTTTAATTAAGGTATGATTATGGAGTGCACAATCAACTAGCCCCTACTGGTGGAAATAATCAAATCAATATTTACTCACCTAGTAACTCTTGGACTCCTTCCTATTAAATGTTAATTACCAGTAGTTTGTGTGATGCAATCCTTAATCCAATGAGCATATTTTACCTAATGCCTTTATAGTGAAGAAATACTGTAGGGTGTTCTTTATTTCTCTTGCCTCAAGATAGAGAGCTATGCTCAATGTCCTGTCTCTCTTGTATATTTTATTAGTGTTAAAAGTCCACTAGTTATACCCATCCTCCTGAAGCATATATAAACCATTGGCTTCCCCCTTCCCCCAAAATGAGCATATTTTACCTAATGTCCTTATAGTGAAGAAATACTGTTAACACGCTTCCACTACACATAAGGGGCATAATTGGCCGACCCCTCACAGTGTTCGAGAGAGAATTGGATAAGCACCTCCAAAGGATACCTGATCAACCAGGCTGTGACTCTTACGTCAGGCTGCGAGCAGCCGCGTCGAACAGCCTGGTTAATCAGTCCGGCAACCAGGAGGCCTGGTCGACGACCGGGCCGCGGGGACGCTAAGCCCCGGAAGCACCTCAAGGTAACCTCAAGGTAACCCAGATAAATCTGGGCAAATGACATTGATGTAACACTGAATCAATGTTGATAATGTTGATCCTATGTTGATTTAACGTTACTCTTGCCATTTTTGCTCGCTGGGCATATCTTTTTTTATAAAAAGTACTTCTCTTTATTTTTTCTGCTCCTTTCCTTTAAGAGTTTACAACTGTGACCTGTCATGTTTTGGTAATTTATGGTTTTCAAAAACGTTTTCCAGCTAGATAATGAAATCACGAGAACATGATGAAGCATTTGTATCGGGATACGAGGGTTGCCTCAGGATACGGGTTTGTTGATACGCGTACGGGCTGACCTAGCACGTGGTGGCACAGCGATCGCCGCTCAGTTCACCAGTGCCTTGCGCCCAGTGACTATCCCGCCTGAATTCTTCACAAGGATTTACCATTTATTTTTAAAGTTTTTGCTATTTGAGCATAAAATTTGTTATAATATACATAACAATGCATCCCAAGAAAGCCAGTGGTAAGAAATCACATGTGAGGATGACAATACAGGAAAAGCAAGAGATCATTCGGAAGCATGAAAATGGTGCACGTGTTGTTGAACTTTGTAGGCAGTACAACAAATCCACGTCAACGATATGCACTATACTTGCCAAGAAAAAGGACATTATGACATTATTATATATATATATAAGTATATATTTACTATATACAGTATATATAAATACACAGGTACTATATGAAAAAATCATTTTGAGGCAGTAGAGTGATTTGAACCAATGTTCTGGTGATTCCCAGACACTTGCCTTAACTGACTCGGCCATGATGGTACAAAGGTCCACCAGCCCAGAACTCTACTGAATGCACTGGGAGGTTTTGGAGGCTTCAAACTGGAGCCCAACCAGTGTTTTACAGTCAACCCGATCACGCTCTGGCCTACAGTAATGGCGTTCACACTCTTATGAAGGGTTACGCAGGAAGCATGCCCAACCATTTTTACTTCACCAGGGAATCAAACCCGTGATCCCAGATTTTGAGTAAAAAACAAAGCCGACTGTGTTTGTGTATGTAATTACCAAATTGTAATTATCTAATATTTTTTCAACTAATATTTTATTTGCAGGAAGTAAACTATGCTTGTGGTGACTTTTCTTCCTTGTACATTTTATCATACTGATTTTAAATGTTGTGGTTGTTCTTGTGTTTAGCATAAATTTAGTGATTTCATTGCATTTTGTACAGTTGGAAGAGTAACCTGTAGAACTGATCTACTGACTTGTAGGGCTGGTAGACTGACTTTTTCAGCTGGTAAAGTGACCTGTAGAGCTAGTAAACTGTAGGGCTGGTAGACTGACCTGTATGGTTGATTAAGTGACCTATAGGGTGATCTGTAGAGCTGGTAGACTCTCCTATATGACTAGCAGACACTCCTGTAGGGCTGGTAGACAGACCTGTAGGGCCAGTAGACTGGGCTTTAGGGCTGGTAGACTGATCTATAAGGCTTGTATACTGATCTGTAGGACTGGTAGACTGACCTTTAGGGCTGGTAGACTGACCTGTGAAACACCCCACAGCAAACGTGTGGCTTATGTGCATGATCTGACATACAGGTGTTGAGTGTGCACTCAGCGGCCGAACAAGTGTCAGTGAGGGAGTTCCTGAGTACGCTGGTCAACGCCCACGTGGATAAGACACTCATGAATGCTCGTCTTGATTTCCTGGCCGCCCACCCGGCCCACGATCCGCAAAATGGCCACACCATTGCTGTCACGCTCCATGAACTCTTGCAGGTAATGCGGTAGGCAAAGATCAGGGTAGGAAATGAAATGTAGGTGTAATACATTTAGCCTCTTCTCACAATCCAGCCTTACTTGATCTCTTTCTGACTTACTGGACTTGCTTGATTTCTCTTCTCACACCCTGAACTTGCTTTATTTCTCCAATCACACCCTATGCTTGCTTGATCTCTCCTCACCCTGGACTTGATCTCTCTCTTCCCACACTCTGATCCTGTTTGATTTCTCTTCTCACATCCTGACTTTGCTTGATCTCTCTTCTCACATACTCAGACCTTGCTTGATCTCTCTTCTGACAAACACAGACCTTGCTTGACCTATTTTCCTCATTTTGACCCTGCCTGGGACCTTGACTCAGCTTGATGTCGGATATTTGACCATATCCAACTCATATCCCTCTCAAACATTGGCTATCTCTGAGATGTGTTTTGTACCTTCAGATCCCAGTGACACTGAGCAAGGACCTGCAGGGATCGGGCGTGGAAGTAGTGAGGTGGGGCCCTGAGGGTTCAGTCCCTGTTACTCTCGGGGAGCTCTATTTTGACCTGACCAGGCTCAAGGATGCCCTGAAAATGGCAGGCAGTGGGGCCAAGAAACGGGTCAAAGATCTGGATCATGACTACGAGAAGATTAGGCTGGTGGGCAAAGGTGAGGAGGGGGGCAACCACACTCACTCGCATGCACACACTCACAGACATAGGGTCTTATAGCATAGTAGGTATTATGACATTGGTTCTTGGTTGTGAGCCAGTGTCTTTGGCTTGCAACCAAGAGATCCAGATTCAATCCCTGAGCAGGATGGAAACAGTTCAGGAAGTTTCCATTTACCTGATGCTGCTGTTCACCTAGCAGTAAAATGGGTACTTGGGAGTTAGAGAATAATTAAAGTTTACATCCTGAGGAAGGTCAGTACATAGTTGACCTTAGAGGACCTCAATAAGCCCAAGTAAAGGATTCCTGTTTCTGGCAACTGGAATTGCATGCAAAAACTGCAATGCTGAGCTGCAGAAACTGACCCACATCCCACGGGATGTAAGGAAGAATGATGTAAGAGATTACATAGGGTACAGCAAGAAATTAGCATTCAGCATTCATAACAGTTGGTTGGACCCTTAAAAGATGAGACCAACCAAGTTATAATTGACAGTAAAAGAGCAGCCAACACACTGTATGAATACTTTACATCAGGGTTCACACTAGAGAGTCTAGACATCATCTCAACACTCACACAAATGTTTGAAGCAGGTAAAGAGAATGAATTGAGGGATATCCCATAACATGCAATGTAATCAGGAAAAGCATTGACAAACTAAAAGATTCAGAAGAATCAGATGTGGATGGAATCCAATCCAAAGTTGTTAATGAACTGGCAAATGAACTGTGACCTCATTCAAAATCATTCCTGAACTAAGTCAGCTCCCAAACCAGGAATGGTTGAGAGCCACAGGGCTAACATCACTGCAGACCAGACATGACAGGGCTGGTCTCATTGAAACTTAAAATATTGAACAATTTGGAGGATGTTGAGTCAGACCACTTCCTCAAAAGGTCAGATGTAACATGGACATGGAGCAACAGATAAGCCACAATATGGGACAGAAAACAATAGGTGCTTTTCACCCATAGGGTTATAAACCCATGGAAGGAACTGCCTGCACGCTGAAACCATAAATGCCAAAACATTGCTGCAATTTAAGATCCAAATTGACAAAATCATGAGTACAAATGGGGGACTCTTGACAAGCTGCTGGCTTTCTGTCCTCATCAAGGCCACTAGAGATATGTGGCTCTTCCTTATAGAGGCATAAGGAGGAACAGTAGAATTAGGGCACATGGATGGGAATTAGAGGCATAAATGAGCCAAAATGATGTCAGGGATTTGAAACATACTACAGTATATATTTATTTTTCCCCAGAGTCAAGGGTAGGAAACATGTTAGGTTAATGAGGTCCCCCTAGGCCAACTATTGATGCAACCCATAACAGTTGCCTAACTCCTGAGTACAAGCCCAAATGTTTCTGTCCTTCTGTGGGCATTGAACTCGGGATCGTTCAGCTATAGCCTGGCTACACTAACCACTGAACCACAAGGCGTAATATATAGTAAAAGATCTGAGAGAATCAAAAGTCATTACAGCTGCAGAGGTGGGGTTCAAGAACTGAAGCTCAACCCTTGCAAACTCAAATAGGTGAGTGCACATATGTACTTAAACACAAGCAGATGCAGACAAGTTCACAAAAACAGTGAAACTCATTCTAACTCGGCATGCTACAGCAAATCATAATACAGTACAGTACAATGCAACACAGTGAAGCATAATGTATCACAATGTAGCCAAGCATAATACAACACAACACAATCATGCATAATACAACAGGGTACAGCCAAGCAGAATACAACACAGTTAAGCAGAATTCAATTCAGGCCAATATTATGCATTATGATGACAATAATTCACTTCCAGTATAATGATAATGTTAACTTTAAAGATGATGATTTTTTATACTGTCTGTATGTTGCTTTTGATAGTAGGCTTATGTTGGTCTTGATGATGATTATAACAACTATGTTGGTGACAGTGACAACTCATGGTGGCATGCATGCACATAGGGGCGTTTGGTAGTGCTATCCTGTACCGACGGAAGGAGGACGAGACCATGGTCGTCATCAAGGAGATCAACATGCTAGAACTTTCAGCGTCCGAGCGGCAGATGGCCCTCAATGAGGTCAATGTGCTGGCCATGCTTGACCACCCTAACATCATCAGGTCAGCCCAAGTGTTAAATGGCGCTCAATGTGGTCATAGTGCCAGACATACTCAACCATCCCACCATTGTTTGGTCATGGCCATCCCACATTCATGTTTACTTGTTTCTTTAAGATAGAGTCTGCCAGTAACACTCAAGAATAGTGTGGAGGAGGACCTTTAACAAGCCACTGACTTAAAAGGTCCCAGGTTCCATTCCCACAGCAAGAAAGAAAGGGGCATTTTGGTTTGTTTCCTTACACTTTACACCTCTGCTCACCTAGCAGTAAATAGGTCTCTTGGAGTTAGACAACAGTTGTGGGTTGCATCCTATGGAAGGTCAGTCATTAATGTAGCCCTTGAGGGACCTTGATAAGCCTAACAAACTTCCTGTTCCTTGACAATAGGAAACCAAACTGTTATTGTAACAAAAAAATATACATTAGACTGACACCAACCTAGTTATCAACAATATTATCATTTGAAGAAAAAATGATAATACCAGCATTTGGGTTTATGTTTTTCTCTGTCTGCAGTTACATGGACAGCTTTGAGAGGGACACAGTACTGTGTATCGAGATGGAATACGCTGATGGGGGGAGTCTGGCACAGTACCTGACACAACGGGTCAAGCGAATAGAGGAGCGAGAGATCCTCATCTTCTTCCACCAGATTACCTCTGCTCTCAGCTACATGCACCAGCACCACATTCTTCATAGGTGAGTGTCTGTGAGGGAGTGAGGGAGGGTGAGTGAGTGGGAGAGTACACAAGAAAGGTCATTAAATGAGATCTCTTGATATAAGTTTCTTTTATATTTTTGGTTCAGTTCATTTGTTATCTAAAATACTTGCTTTGTATCCATATTTTGCTTTTAGTAGATACATTTACATGTTGAATGTACGAGTTGTGACTTTAAACCATAAACAACAACAACAACAACTTATTTTGTGAAAACTATGGTATCATTAACATTGAGTTCTACCACCAATGCATAATAATGTATTGCTAATGCATAGAAGCTGCAGTGTGAGAAGTCTGGTATTTGCTGCCACTGTTATTATAATTATATGCAGATTGAGTGTAATACTGAAGCAACAATTTCTGCTGAGGTTTAATGCACGTCACATCCATCCTGTGGGGGCTAGTGGAAAGGTTACAGAGGTTCAAGAACTGAACCCCACAATTCATTTGGATAAAGTTGCTATTTTGATAGGCTAGTTACAAAGTTTAACCCCTGCACTGCGCAAAGCGCCTTTAGGCGCTCTGAGAGTTGTGCTAATTTTTTTTTAATTAGGCTATATTTTAATGTTTTTTAATGTTTTCATTACTCTGTGTTTTTAAATGAAAATAGTTGAGTTTGGAAACATTTTGACATTAAATTTACCTGAATATTTATGTAAACAACTAGAATATGTCCTTGACAATTGCCCCAAGAAGTTTTTGCCGAAACCAGGTGCGCAGTGCAGGGGTTAATGTTTTTTTATAAAACTGGATTCAAGGACTAGACCACAAGAGTCTCTAAGATAAGCCAAGGAATTTACATTTGCAGTAGGCTGCTTTTGTTGGTGAAGAGAGCATCATCACTGTATAGGCCAAATAGGCCTTCTATAGGTACCTTCATTCTTATGTTCTAATGAAATTGGGTGGATATAAATGGAAGTTGCTTCATATGGGGCAATAGGCCTTCTGCAGTTGCCTTTATTCTTATGTTATTATGTTCTTTAGTAGGGTCCCTCCATTGTTTCAAGCTTAGGTTAAACATATATATGAATGAGATTGGGTGGATATAAATTGGAGCTGCCTCGTATTGGCCACTAGGCCTTCTGCAGTTGCCTTCATTCTTATGTTACTAGTAGTAGGCATCCTTCAGTCTCGGGAGACTATGGAGTTGCGCCCTAGTTGTCAATCCTGGTGCAGCGTCTGTTGTGACTGATGAGGCCAATCCGAGAGTGGCAGTCCTTATGTTACTAGAATGCATCTATACCGAGAGATAGATACTGCTGCTACATTAATGTTTCAGTATTTGCCTAATACTGCATTTGATGATCTTCATATTCCAACAAATGCAGTTGCATGCACAAATCTACTGTATAGTTATCATCATGATTATCTAAATGGCCTCACTCAGTTGGTTAATGCTGCTGCTTTTGAAGTACAGTATTATCTTCTGTGCTTTATGTTCAAGATCATGCCTAGTCTGGGATTTTCTATAAATAGCAATGAGGGCTCACAGCCACTGACCACACCACACAGTGACTCCCTCATTGCCCCGCACCAACAATGACTCTTTTTGACATTTCTGATTTGTCAATTCTTATATACTGTATGTATGTATGTATGTATGTATGTATGTATGTATGTATGTATGTATGTATGTATGTATGTATGTATGTATGTATGTATGTTATGAGGAAGGAGGAATTCTGAGTTGTCAATTCTTATATACTGTATGTATGTATGTATGCATGTATGTATGTATGTATGTTATGAGGAGTTATGAGGAAGGACTGAGGATGCTGAATCTCATCACACTGATAGACAGAAGAAAAAGAGGTGATATGATCACTACGTACAAAATAGTAACAGGATAACAGGAATTGATAAAATCGATAGGGAAGATTTCCTGAGACTTGGAACTTCAAGAACAAGAGGTCATAGATTTAAACTAACTAAACAAAGATGCTGAAGAAATATAAGAAAATTCACTTTCGCAAACAGAGTGGTTCCAAACTTGTTGGAACAAGTTAAGTGGTGGTGGTGGAAGCCAAAACCGTCAGTAGCTTCAAAGCGTTATATGACAGAGTGCTAGGTAGACGGGACACCACGAGCGTAGCTCTCATCCTATAACTACACTTAGGTAATTACACACATGTACTGTACTTGGTAACTTCAGCCATAACAATAATAGTGGCTGACATTATTACATGCACTTTGTTCTTTTTTCTCCCTCACTCAATCCTCTCTGCACTCTGACCTCCCTCAGGGATTTGAAGACGGCCAACATTTTCCTGACAAAGCAAGGGGTGGTGAAGGTGGGCGACTTTGGCATAAGTAAGATGATGAACACCCGCTCAGCCCATGCCCATACCGTCCTGGGCACACCCTACTACATCAGTCCAGAGATGGTGAGTGTGAGCATAGCAAATGATGGACATGTCCTATTACAGAAGTCAGGAGATTGTGGAGGGAGGGAGAGAGAGAGGGAGTAGAGGAGTTAGAGAGAATGTGGAGGAGATAGGAAGGAAGTAAAGGGAATAGGGAGGGAGTGAAGGAGATAGAAGGGATTGATGTGGAAAAATGTAGGCTGGAGTAATTTAAAATGAGAGAAGATGGTGAAGAGGAGTGAGCGGAGAACTACAGGTAGGGTATGAGAGAGAGAGTGTGAGAGAGAGTGTGAGAGAGAGTGTGAGAGAGTATGTGAGAGAGGGAGAGTGTGAGAGAGGGAGAGTGTGAGAGAGAGAGTGTAATTACCTAAGTGTAGTTACAGAATGAGAGCTACGCTCGTGGTGTCCCGTCTTCCCAGCACTCTTTGTCATATAACGCTTTGAAACTACTGACGGTCTTGGCCTCCACCACCTTCTCACTTAACTTGTTCCAACCGTCTACCACTCTATTTGCGAAGGTGAATTTTCTTATATTTCTTCGGCATCTGTGTTTAGCTAGTTTAAATCTATGACCTCTTGTTCTTGAAGTTCCAGGTCTCAGGAAGTCTTCCCTGTCGATTTTGTCAATTCCTGTTACTATTTTGTATGTAGTGATCATATCACCTCTTTTTCTTCTGTCTTCTAGTTTTGGCATATTTAATGCTTCTAACCTCTCCTCGTAGCTCTTGCCCTTCAGTTCTGGGAGCCACTTAGTAGCATGTCTTTGCACCTTTTCCAGTTTGTTGATGTGCTTCTTAAGATATGGGCACCACACAACAGCTGCATATTCTAGCTTTGGCCTAACAAAAGTCATGAACAATTTCTTTAGTATATCGCCATCCATGTATTTAAATGCAATTCTGAAGTTAGAAAGCATAGCATAGGCTCCTTGCACAATATTCTTTATGTGGTCCTCAGGTGATAGTTTTCTATCTAGAACCACTCCTAGATCTCTTTCTTTATCAGAATTCTTTAAAGATTTCTCACATAATATATAGGTTGTGTGGGGTCTATGTTCTCCTATTCCACATTCCATAACATGACATTTATTAACATTAAATTCCATTTGCCAAGTGGTGCTCCATATACTTATTTTGTCCAGGTCTTTTTGAAGGGCATGACAGTCATCTAAATTTCTTATCCTTCCTATTATCTTAGCATCATCAGCAAACATGTTCATATAATTCTGTATACCAACTGGTAGATCATTTATGTACACAATAAACATCACTGGTGCAAGAACTGAACCCTGTGGTAC